AGAATTATAAAATTGGGAAATAAAATATTTTGTTTTTTATTTTTTATTATAAATGCGTAGAAATGTCAAATTTTTTTTTAGAGAAATTCATGGATATGCAGATATTTACGGATTTTTTATTATCTATGTGATCTGTTGATCATTCGCAAATATTTAGCATATAATCTGCAGATCATTTATTTGGTTTCCTGCGGATATATAATAATCATCTGAATCACTTTTTTATCTGATGAATGAATAGTTTTATCCGCGGATGATCCAGATCGTTTCACTACTCCCAGTCATATGTTCTGTATTTGAAAAAAATATTAAGTGTCTTTCTTTTTATTTTTAGCCTTCTTTTCCTCTGTGAACTGATTTCAACTTCAAATTTATATACAATCTCATTTATAGGCTTGTTCACTGACTTGACTATCTTTAAAACATCTTTCTGTAAAACAAAACCAAGTATCATCAGTATCCTATTAAGGCTCTATAAATATTCATCAATTTGTTACCTGGAAATCTATGAGGATTTTTATGTCCAAGGCGAATTGTTCCATATCGTTAAATGTATTAGGAAACTTCAAGTTCACAAATTCATCGTAGAGGTAAACCAATGGAAGGGGTCAAAACATATATCTTATGTGGATTCGTCCATCTTAGAGAAAAATTATGTAAGCCAAAAAAAAATATGTGAAGCCAAGAATTTTCTATTATACCGTGATACTTACTCACACACTGAATTGTATACGCATGAGCTCTCTTACAAGAAATTGTTTCAAGTAGTTTATTTAAAATTCACATAGCATTACGGCTAAGCTTTACCTTATCATCAACATCTTTGGAATCGGGGCCTTTTTACCTTTTGAAAATTTAATAATTCCTATTTTTTGATGGTCCTGTTTTCTTGTCTTAAGAGCTATCAAAGTACCATCGATCTTGTGAATTTTTGTATCTGCGGTGAGTATTTCAATCCTGAATCAAATAAAAGGAAATTAACAGATATAACTCAAACTTATTGGAAATTTAAAATTGACACTTACCAATTTTGATCCAACACGTCTTGGTGCATTCTGAAGAGTCTATTCATGATGTATATAGTTATATCTATTGCGAATGTCCTTTCGAGATTTGGTGATTTTGATTCAGAATTGGTTAGGGCTTCCAGACATACTGAACTGCTCATTATTAATGTTAGTAACGCTTTGAGACATAGATTTACAATAAGAAAATACATATAACTACATACAAATGTGTCATTAACTGTTGTGCTATGTTGTGTCCTTCGTGAAGGAAAGGATCAAAGCGTCCTGTAATAAAGGACTTTGTACAAGTGTGAGAGTGTGGACACGGTCACACATATCTTCCGTAAATTGATTACAGTAATCCTTAAACTCAAGTGTTATGTCCCAAGTTTGTTTTTCTAGCACCTCATTAAATCATGTTTGCTGTTCTTCATTCAACTTTGATCGTATACTTTCCTTCACTCTAGAATCAGTTATATCAATTATTCCATTTAAAAAATTTGAACTTATTATTGTTTTTCCTGATTCAAGATCATTGGATTGGAATTGATGTAGAACTTCAAGAAAGATATCCTGAATTAATGCATCATTCACGTCCAAATGCTTCACTTCCTTAAAGATCAAATAGCAATTAGAGTATATTACTTATATACACAACGAAGCAAAATATAAATTACCTCAGGTAATTCATCATCTGAAGTAGAATAGAAATCTACATCATACAAATTTGGGGATTCTTTATCATATGATACATCATTATTATCCCGTTGTGATTCATCTTTAGTTTGTAGTTGTTGAACTAGAGAAGAATTCTCAACTCAGTCTAAAAAAGAATCGTGCCAAATTATTTGTGTATTGGTGACTATACAACTCTTAGGATATTTATTTTAATAATTGACATACCTCTTCTTTGTCCAAATTATTCTCTGATTCAAAAAACGGATTGTTTCCAGCATCTGCAATTGGTTCGCTTAAGCCACATAAATGATAATGTTAATAACAGACATCAACAGCGAATGACAAACGTGATGAAGCTTACGTGTACTGCCTCTTATGTGGTTCATAATCAGATTCGAGTCCTTTGTTTTTTGGAAAAGCTGAATCCTAAATTAAGAGGAAAAAATTACCAATTTGCTGTGAATGCGAGAAAAAAATGTAACCAATACTTATGCAATTTCATTTCCGTAATTCTAATTGCTGGCTGGAATATAATTTCTTTTCCTCTCTCACATGAGTATTTAATGAATTTTGATACTTGTACTATATAAACCAGGTCATATAATTAGTAGAAGAGAAGGATCAGAAAATTAGTTATAATATATTGAACTCACCTCTTCAATTTCTTCGTTTTGTGCTAATGTACTAAGTTCAGTAATTGCTCTTTTTCCATCTTTTTGTCAATCTCAATAAACGAAAATAAGATAGTTAATAGGAATCAAGATAATATTATATTATAACAGCCAAGAATGTGAACGAGAAAATCCAGAATGGCGTGCAGAATATTCCGTCTAGTATCGATACTTTGCATACAGTTGACAACACGCCAAGGAAATCCAGGGTAGCACGCAGAATACCCTGTCTAGTATTAACTTGGACTTTAAAGCCAAGCTGTGTTGTCAGCAAGTTATGCGCTTCTGCACTAACCTTAAATGATTTCTTTAGTGAAGATGCCATTGATCTCTCTTTCGTTAAAGGATCGTATTTATGTTCAATTTCGCTTAAACACTTCTTGTACTTGAAATTACAGACTCTTAAAGATTTAGATAAACCGTTTTTAAACGCGTAGTGAACAAAACTTGAATATCAATCGTAAATTCGTCAAAATAATCTGAATAAGCAAACATTATTAACTCAGATCAGGTGTTTGGGGTAGATAGGGATGAGAATGATCTGATCCAGACTGAAAGACTATTGGACTGGTCATAGGACCAGTCTTATACCAATCTTTTTTGGGACGGATCGATAGGATTGATCATAGGATCAGGGTCTTTTTAACGGTCTTATAAAAGATAGTCTTATCGTCTTATTGATCAATCGCCCTTAACCTTTTATTGATAGACGTGTTTTTACGTATTACATTTACGCATTTTTTAAACTATATAAATGATAAACTACACCAAGTGTAACAAATTTTGAATTTACAATCATACGCTGAGTACAATCAAAAAATGTCATCTGATAATATTAGCGAAGCTGATTCTTTTCTTTCCTTAGCTTCCACCCATTCTCAACCTTCAAACAATAAAATTAA